TAACAAAATTGAAAAAAGTGAAGGGGGTCTGAATACTTTCCAAATGCACTGTATATCAACATGTCTTCAACCAGATGTCTGAAGAGCATCTGATTGAAGACAGCTAATCTAGAACTAGGAGAAGACAAGTGCTAGTTTGATGAGACTAGCTAACAGGAAATCAGTGTATTGTATCTTATATCGAGACAAAGGACATCCTGAAACACAGTAATCTCTTATCAGGATCATTTAAGTACCAGGCAGAAAGTTTAATTTTTGGTGATTTCCATCTCTTTGTAGACCTGAAAGTCCAGAAGTTCATCATGAACATCATCTGTGATTCTGATCTCAGCAAAGTGACAAACTGCATGGAGCACGCCCTTCAAGCCAAGCACCCTCGCTCTCGTTACAGTGCAGGTTGGGATGCTAAATTTCTGTGGCTGCCAGTTTCTTATCTACCTGCTTTCTTGGTGGATATTTTCCTATCTATGATCTTACCAAAGCCAGCTCAGCGGGTGCGCTGAAAGCTTCTTCCTTATGACCAAGCTTGAGGCTTTAGTGTTGAAAGATCGTACTTCTGAGGATTAGGAAGAAATAAAAGAATTAGAGAAAGCTGTTGCCTTGCCAGCTGATTTTACAGGGTGGTATGAAAGCATTTCATATTGCAAGCTGCATGATACTACACAGATGCTTAGAAATCATGAAGAACAGGAATGATTTGGATGCAAAAGGGAAATGTTGGGCAAATGAATTGAATAACTAGTACCAATATAAAAGACTTGACATGAAGTGGGTAACTCTTTTGCAAGCATAAGCTTCTATACTCTTTGAAGTGTACAGATCATGAAATCACAGGAAGGGGCAGTATTTAAATCTTAATTGCAGCCTTGGAGAGAAGAATTTAAGTAAAATAGGTGCTCTGAGCCTTAATGCATGTGTAGTTCATTGCTGTAACTCCCATCACCAAATCACACCACTTTGTTGCAGAATTTTAGGGGCAGAAGTTGGGGAGAGCTCATGGGAAGCACTCAAAGCCCTGGGACTGCTAAATGCTGTGGTAGCTCTGGATTGTGCAACAGTCCAACTTTCATGCATCCATTCACTCTAGGGGGAATGTTAAAACAATGAGTAGGAAGCTCTACTGGCCCCTTTATTGTAGAATTCCCAAATATCTAAGAGAGCTCAAAGATCTTCCACTCTGTAACCTGAAAACCTTTGCTACTTTTTCATCATACATGCCCAGGTCTTCTATTTGGAGTAGATACCAAAGGCACACCTGTAGGCTAGGTGAATATGGAGAACCTGAGTCCTGAACACATGCTTAGGACATAACCATACTCCCAGAGTTATAATGATGGAAATTCATCAGGATTCAATATGATGGTTTGGGGTCACATTCAAGCCCCTGGATCTCTCAACTCAGCCAGGGACATCCCAAGCCCAAAGGATGATCTAACAGGTACACCCTATCTTCCTTTGACTCTGCTTCAGACGAGAAAGAGTTCTTAAAGTTAGAATTCTATTTTTAGCTAGGCAATTCTATTAAGGAGTGCATATATAATCTAGTTTTAAAAAATGTCAGCAAACCTAGCACAAAGATACTCACATGGTTAGCAGCAGCTCACAAGAAAGGAAGGGCTACCTGGTGCATGAAAATACTAGAAGCAGACTGTCTCTAATGACTGGAGATAGACGCAGGAGGAAAAGGATAGAACTTACTATTCCTCATAATGGTTATCCCAGAGTGTTTTCAGCAACATGGAAGTTTTTTGTATAACCCCATTAATTTGATAAACAGAATCCATCACTTATGTTGAAGTTCAATATGGCATTATATTAGCTTAACTGAGAAATGATAATTTATAGGGCCAACTGAGGAGAATGATAAGGCTTCTGTCATTGTGCTAGACAAGAGGGTGGTTTAGCAATGACCAAGGACTAAAGTCTTGTTGAAAGCCAAAGGCAGGGAGGGGAAACAGAACAAAGGAATACCATTCATGCTTTCCAGTAAACGGTAAAAATATATACATTCACATCAAGAACCCTGTCTTGATCCGAACACATCCCATAACATGTTATTTCATTTCCTACATTCCTGGAGCAGTTCAGGAGTAATTTCCAATGATTGCATCCTACGTTGTTCCAGTATTACATAAAGAAGACAAGTTCTATCAACCATCTTCCATTCTTTAAATGAGTCAAAGGACGAGGCAAAGCCCAAAAAAGGTACAAAACCAGAATGGAGTGCCATACAAATAAGTCACAACACATGGGTGAAACAATGGTTTTTATTTTCCAAATAGTGATTTTTCTGGCTAAAAATATTAACTCTGACAATTTTCCTTCTTATTATGACCTATAAAGACTCAAGACCCTACCTTTCCAAAGGAAAAGAGGAATAGCTGAACATATAAGACAGTCTACTTGAAAGGACTCAAAAGGCAGAATAGATGTCTTTAAGGAAGTGAGAATTTGAAAGATGCTTGCTCACACCTACTAAGGACATTAGGAACATTTGTTGCATATCACAAGATGCCCACTAGGTGGTACACAAGTCTAACATGAAGGATAATGCAAGTTCTAGGAGTGGCAGTGAGATGCAAGGAATGGATCAAACCTGCCCATTATGGGAGGGAAGGAAAAGAGATAAGGCAACAAGTGAATCCTTTGAGGGTAGCATATATTTTCATAACAGGCAACAGAAGAAGAGGCATCCACCCAGCCCTGTCCCATTGGCACATGATGGTCAACTACATCCCCAGAAAAGGAGACTGAAGTATTCCAGAGTTTTGTGACTGGCCTCATAACAGCAACAGAAACCATTACATGACCTCATAGCCACTGCGGATTCCTTTCATGAGGCAACAGGCAAAAATGATGCCCAAGATCTGGAAAAAAAATGAGAGAAATTATTTAGGCCTGATGTTTTCTTTAGAAATAGAAAGATGACTGCACTGTATATATCACTGCAATCGTTTTTCACATCTTTTACCAAATGGGATGAGAAATTTTCATCTTTTAGACAGACCACCTCAGGTCACGTTTCATCATTCTCCCCCCAAACTTGCCCTCAGCACTTCTCTGATATATTACTCTAAAAGGCCTTAAAAAAACAAGAGAAGAAAGCAGTATGACAGAAGCCATCCCTTTTGTTGTGTGGCAGTCAGCCTCCTAACATTCTGTTCTCATCTTTCTAATGTCCCAGGGACAGAAGAATTTAATTCCAGGCCGCTGGACCCAAACTGAGGGGGTTCACCAAAGAAAACCACTTCTTGTTTTGATTAGTATCCCGTCTCCAGCTCAAACAACTCAAGTTCTGTGAAAGTTGAGACAAAAAATATACATTTCCTGGTGTCCTGAGAGCACTCTGAATTTTTACAAGTCACACTGACACAACAAAGGAAGCAGGAGACCATTTCATCATCATTAGAGGAGCAGAGAAAACTGCTAGACGTAGCAGGCAAATGTTCATCTACAAATAGGGAAAAGAAGGACTGTCCTAAAATGGTTTGGAAATTTCTTTATTTTAGTCTTCATTGTCAGGGTATAAAAACCAAGTCTCCTTCAAGTCAAGTTGAATAACTGTGACTTTATGGACCTGTCCATTTGGTTTTCTAGGCAACTAAATGAAAGTGGCTTGCCATTTTCAATTTTTCTTACCAGTCCAGTCTATAGTGTGGGAACTCCTGCTAGTCTCCAAGTACTAGCCAAATCTAACCTGGTTTATCTTTTTGAGGTCAGCCAAAGTTAGGACACACTGCAAAAGAAAAGGCTTCTCTTCCCCTCAAATGTCATGACTAAGTGCATTAAAATAACTGTCAGCACTATGTGGCCAATTTAAGATGGCTGCTCAATGTGAATTATTTAAAGATGCTCTGCACCATCACTTGCAAAGAAGTTTTGGATCTGCTGTTACTTCACATTTTACAAATTGTACAAATAACTGCACATATTCTTCCTCAACAGAAGCTTATCTTAGCAGTTAATAAGATGGGCTCTTGCTTTCCTTGTTGGGCTCTGTGCAGATTTCCAGTGCTGGAATTGCATTCCCAATAGCTGCAGGCATGTTAAAGAAAGAGCACGAATTTAAAGCACATTTTACCTCCACCACACCAACTGCACATTATGCAAAGTAAACAATAACTTACTTCCAACCTTTCTCCTCAGCTCCATGAACAGAATTCACACATCAGATTAAAATTTGGTTTACTGAATCATGATTTGCTGAATAAGCCTCAAATGACTGGATTCACAAAACATACTAAGCCATAACCCCTTGTTTACAGACCACATTGTAAATATTTAATTGTATTCATACCAAATCAAAATCAAGCAATAGTGGCACAGGGTGGGCACCACCTGAGAGTTTGAGGGGTGCAATTTAGCTCCCAATTTTCTTGCATGTCATAATGACAACACAGAAAGAAATTGAACCCTTTTAACTGAAGGGTGGGTTAAGGAGGGGAATAGGAGCAGGAGGTCTCTAGGAAGCAAATGTCTTGTATCCCCACTCTTTAAAAACTCTCAAAATGTGAAAAACTTTTGTGCTTCAAATTTTTAGCACCAGAATGATGTTCAAACCATTTTTGGGGGTTTGGGAATAGAAAGGTGGGAATAGAAGTCATTTCCCAATTTTTGCCAAGTATTGACAACTCTCCCCTCCATCTTTCAATTTTGCTGCTAAAAAATTGCTATTTTGCTGGTGCAATCTCAGGGTTCTGGGGCTGCACATGGCCCTTGGGTTAGCCATCCATTGCATAATATAGTATGTGTCACTCCCTGTTGTTTATAAAACATGACTGCCGGCTTACACTGGTAAATTCAACCAACACATCATGGCTTAGCACAATACATGAAACACTCATAGAATTGCCCTTCTGTGAACTTGTGATTTTAGCCAGTACACGACTGGGAATAGTCTTGTGTTCTACAAAACCATATTGTTTCCTTTAGAAGTGTTACTATGTGTTATTCTCATCTATCTGCAAACCTCAAAAGCACTTTAGTGGCACAGTTTCCTATCCTGTCCTGTCCCATTCAAAATGTTCAAGCCTGCAATGGTCCCTGTTGCTACAAGAAACAATTTGGGAGCTCCTCAATGTTCATTTCCATTCCTTAGTGCAGATGTGCTTGGTGGGAGATGGTAGCCAGCACTGCTTACGAAAGTTTAGATGCACTCAGCTCTGTGGATTTATAGATGCAACTTAGTCCAGACATCCATTTTGTTAGGCTGTGTGGCATTTTACACAGTAGCTGTATCGAATGCAGACATCTCCATTTACCAAAGCAGACATTAGGAAGAGAGAGGAAGTTATTCCTAAATTATTTTAACTGTTGTGGGGGGAACCTTGGAAATGTGGGGCAGGGTTTGGTAAAATCTCAAAAGCCACCCATGGGAAACTAAATAGAGGTCAGGAGCTCTACTGAATATTGTCCTTGCCTCTTTTCATTGCCAGGAATTAGGTTATAAAAATATTTAACCACTTTTTAATTGTGGTCGTGGAATTCTGCTTTTTATGATGTGGAATTCACTTTTTCGAGCACAGAACACAAACCAGAACGAGGCTACCAGCTTTCTCCAGCAAAACAAAGATGCAGGTAGGCAGGTTCGGACGAGAACCCATTCCCACAAACAAGAGCTTTGGTACCTCAAAGAAGGCAATGCCCAATGCAACTCCAGCCACAATCACAATGTGCTTTCGCAGCCAAGCTTCTATTTTTGTCACACAACCCTGCAGGGAAAGAAAACAATGTTTGTAGGATCTCTCAAAAGACTCAAATTAGAGCAGAAAGTCAGCGCAGCTTAATAGTCAAGGTTTTGGCCTGGGGAAACTCAGGATTAAGTCCCTACGTGAACCAAGGGCTCACTGGATGACTCTGGGTTAGGCACATTCTCTAAGCCTAGCCTACTTCACAGGGTTGCAGCAGGGATAGCATTAGGGGAGATTTCCGCAAACTGCCTTTTCTCAAGAGCTTGAAGCAGGATATATGCAAATGACTGAATAAATAAATAAGCCTTCCCAACACTCTGTCATACAAACCTCCTCATGAACATTCTCAGGAGTTGGATGGTTGGTACATTCAGTGCCATTCTTGCAGCAGGAGCGGGGTACACGGCTAGGCTTAAATTGTGTGACATTAAACCAGTCAGTGTAATTTAAGGCTCCACAGCAGGAGTACTGTAGTTGGGGAGGGAGAAGAGAAGAGAAAAAAGACGTGAATATTTTCAGGAAAACAGGATTTTGGTTTTTAAAGTCTTCATTACTTGACTAGCATCTAATAAAGCAGGAAGCTTTTTTTAATGCATGGCCGTGCATCGTCTATTGCTGGATAGGGATCTAGGAGCCACAGTGTATCTCCATGCCAGCCACTACCAGCTTCATTCTCACACATACAGAACTGGAACTGCTAGGCCTCAGCCTCTCTCTCTCTCTCCCTTTTTAACAGGAAATATTCAAATCTACGGTATATCTTCTTTGATACATATTCCAATTATTCTGCTCCCACCATTTTGAGCTTGCAAACATGTCTTCTATGCCTTTTGTCTCCCTCTTCAAGAAGAGAAGAAAGCCTCATCTGCCTTTCCACCAGTTGTCCTGCTTCAAGTGAAAGTGCTGATTCTCCACTGCTATTAGGGAATCAGCTGCAGGCTGATTTGCTCAACAGGACTATGTGTAGAAAAGCAACACAACAAATACCGCACAGCTTGTAACTACGGACTTTTGGGCAAGCTGTTTTGGAAACTGAAGGGCTGGCAAAGGCAATACTGAGATCAGGGAAGGGGAATCTGCAGAGAAATCAGAAACCTGTATTTTTTAAAATTTCCACTATTTCCATTATTTCTACCATCACTACTTTCCCAACACCGGAGTCCTAGAAGTAGAGCCTTGATGGTACACTCACCTCCTTCTGCAATTCATCGAAAGGATTAGTGCCTGAACTATTGTAGCTATTCATTTCTACCTGAACTTCATCTTTAATCACTGCTTGGATCTGGGAAAGAAAACAAAGAAAGAGAGGTAATAGGATAAGATTCAGAAAGTTTCCATAGAATCGCATGCGAAGAATGAAACAACTTTAACATGGATTCTCTAATGATTGACATCATAATTTGAGGCCTAACCTCCACTCCAGCTTTTGCCTGTGCTGGCTGGGGACACTTGGAATTGTGGTCCAACACATTTTCTTCCCTAGGAAGTTTCAGTAATAGGGATCAGGAGGTTACAATAGCATCATTCCTGAAGGTCTCTCTTACCTTGTCCTTAAAGATATAGCCTGCAATGGCAGCTGCAATCTCCACCAGGAAGATCAGAGTCAGGAGGACAGCAAACTAAAGAGGAAAAAAATCTGTAAACACCCTGGAGTGACAAATGGACCCGAAGTGCTGTGTCTCCTTCATTTGGGATTTTGTGATTGAAAAATGTCCTGCCACTTTGGCTCACATAACCCACCTCCAGTTAAGAACAAAAGCTGCACCTATTCATAGAAATAACCCTATGCCCAAACAAGGAAATATTTTGTTCGAACAACTGTTCAATTCTAGTTCTCTGTCATGGCCTAAACTAGCCTTCTCCTACTTGGGGATGTTTTGTTTGGGGAGCTATAAGTTGTTTATTTATTTCTTTATTCTATTTATATGGCCACCCACTCACTCACATCTAGAAGGCACCAGGTAGAGCAAGGCTGCACCACCAAATAAAGCCACAGGTTCATCTTTATTCAAAGGAAATGTTAATATAGGAAAAACAGATTTCCCAGCCTCCCAGTGTTCAAGGGAAGCATCGTTGACCATCTGCACTGCTCTCTTATACTTCTCTCCAGTGTTTGTCAATGCACTTCAGCTTATAGCAATAATTTTAGTGTCATCAGACCCAGCAAAACAAAGACAAACAAGTTTTCAAAGACAAGCATGTGGTCTCTACATCTCTTGCTGGGTCCTTTTAATATTCATCACTAATCTATATATTGACCAGACCTTAGATTTGTCCTGACCACCCACTCACAGTCTGCTAGATTATGGCCAGTGGGGGTCCTTTTCCCCTATAATTTAAACACATTAAGGGCAATTTCTGTTGGGAATAAAGAGGTACCAATAGAAGAGAATATATGTAGCTCAGGATTGAACTGTGGAGTCCTTGGGGTTCTCTGAGCTTGGTTGTTTTCTTGCAGAGGTTTCATTACCTGGCTAGGTAATATCGTCAGTGCTGGAAGAGGGTGGGGTTTGCTCTCTGTTTATATACAGTAGCTTGCCCTGTCAATGTTGGTGGGGGTGTTGTTTTCTCCTTGGTTTCCTTCATTAGGCTGTTGTTTACTGCTTGACTGTCTGAATTGGCAGTTCCTTGATTAGGGTATTATTTACTGCTTGTTTGTCTGGTGTTAATCCCTGCTTATCTGGGTGTTGAAGAGGTATTTCTCCACCACACAACACATCATGCCCTATACACCAATCCTTATCAAACCCTTTGCACTAATTTTTTACTGGGAATAGGTATGGTTACTGATTAGATATGAGTCATTGTTCTAACTGTGCTGTAGGAAACAACGGTTAAAGAATAAGAATCCAGATGGACACTCCAATGGCTGGGGATGTGGTGGGGTGGAAAGAAGGAAAAACACGCTATGAGGTATTCTCATATTCTATCTGAGGTTTTAGGGCTGCTTTTCTAAATACACAATTTTTCTGGTGGTGGTGATGGTAGTGATGAAAGGCTAGAATGTATGTGCAATGTTGTACAAGTTGAGGGGCATGGTTATGGTTCCCTGATGTCAGTGTATGACTGACTGAGGATTTCCATGATGGAACCAGGAGCTTAAATTATGCAAAAGATGTACACAGTTGTTATGTCTTGGCACAGAATTAAGATTTTTTAAAAATGATTTTAAAATACAACTTTTGCCCCAGGATATTCATTTCTTATAGAAAGGCCAAAATAAAGCTCCTGAATGGATTTCACAAGCATCATTAACCCCTGAACGTTTCTGTTCTTATTACTGCCATTTCTCCAACCCTCTTTATTGCAAAAATTACTACCAAGGCACTGATAAAACCCTCAAAACTTTAAATATACTTTATAACTTAATTTAAAAGGCTCTGCATTGGACTAGAATATCTGACCATTTCCTTCTTGAATTCTTTTCTCAACTGCAAAAGTATTATTATAATATGATCTATGGCCATAATGTTATAATCCCCAATATGGTGCTGTTGGAGCCTCTCTAGGTGCCCACTGTGCCACCTGATTCACTTGTCTTGATTGTTGAACATTTTTTAAAAACTGAATGGGAAGCTGACATACTAAAAGATAACATGCTAACTTCCAGCAACTTTTTTAAAAAAATTCTGATTAATGCTTCTGGACCCCACAAACATCCTTAGAAAATAACATGCTCTTAACATCCCAAGTATGTCCACCAATTCAAACAACTGGGAATAGCAGCTACCAGATAGCGTATGTTTCAGCCCCAGGGATCTGTGGCTAAGAATTCCCCGGTGCACTTTCCTAGGAAACATTTCTGCAATGGGACAAAGATAAATCTGTATTTTGACTGCATAACACAGTCTGTTTGATTTCTTGTGTTTCCTATTTCCCAGGCTTCAAGAACTGACACCACAGTTCTGATTCTTTGTCTGAATGCAACATCAGAAGCTGGAATGAAGTCATCAGCAATTCCATAGCCCCCATTTCTTCTCCATCACCCCCTTACCGTGGTGACCATACAGTAGTTCTCTTTCATTGCCCCACAGCAACCAAAGAAGGAGATGAAGAACACTATAACACCCACGGATAGGATGACAATAGGAGCAGCAGAAGCTGATGCCGGGCCGGTCATCACCAGTGTGTTTCTGAGCTCAATTTGTACAAAAATTCCCAGGGCAATCAGGGCAATTCCGCAGAGCTGTGGAGGAGAAAAATAAAGCATCAGCATTGTGATGATGAGAGACAGGGGAATGGCGTTGTATGAGAAGTGGTGCCCCCTCTTCATTGGATGGGTTCAAGCTGAGGCTTGATAGGCATTTTTTGATGATGCTTTAATTCGATTACTGCACTGAGCAGGAGGCTGGACTTAAATGGTCTCTTCCAACTCTAAGATTCTGTGATCATCTTAGAAGGGCTACATTTATGAAGAGGAATAGGCTACAGATACCAGGTGTGAAAGATCTCTAACCCGCCAAGCAGTTTGTCTCTTCTTAAAGCCCTCTTGCTGCTGAATTTCAATGGCACAGTTGTCAGGAGTCGGTGGCATGGTTTCATATTGCTTTGAGTCATGAAATATGAAAACTGAAATAGCTACTATTTTACCTGCAGTCAACTACTTTGATACCCATAAGGCACTATGCCCTACCTGGTTTTATTTTGCTATTTCTAGATGTTTAAAATTTAAGCAAAACAATTCAATGGGAAGCTGTAGTGCCACTAATTTCAAGAAAGCTTCAGGTTCCCATATATACCCAAGGACATTCTTAAAAAAATAAAAACAGATGATTAAAGCTTAATATTTTATTTGACTCTTGAATTCCAAATGTGCTCATAGCAAATGCAGGCCTTACAATAAGTTTAACTGAGTTTTTAAGAAAGGAAAAAAACAACTATTAAATCCAGGAAAACAGAAAACCACATCTCAATGTGTGGGTGTTACAGCTCGGTGCATTACCACCACATCCTCTGTGGCCTTGTTTATGTGTTAATTTAGATCCCATCTTTCTTTCCAGAGCCCAAGGTAGAGTATGTTGTGTTCCCTCCTCCCTTTTTCCTATAACAACCATCTAAGAGATAGCCTGGCTTGAGGGACAGCAACTGCACCAAAGTTACTCAATGAGCTTTCATTGCTGATGGCAGATGAACCTGGATCACCTCTGTCCAACACCTCAACCATCGCACTACACTAGCTCTTGTTCAGCATAGTTCCCCAACCACTTCCCTCGCTCCTGATATAAGGAGCATGTATCAACTTTGGTCCAAACTTTATCCTCCCTTCAAGCAAAGGATTTAATCTAAGTTCCCCTATTTTATATATTCCAATGCTAACTCCTACCTATCCAGCCTCAATCTCAGCCTCACGATGGTGGCTAAGCAATGGATACATTTGGAATGCTTAATGCTTTGTCCACAGTGTCATCACCTCCTCCTCCCTTAGAAGTATTCCATCTAGTGTATACATACAGGCCCAACTTTGGAGAAAAGCCTGCTAAGCTATCACCAACCTGCTGCCTTCAGATATGCTGAATGAAACTCCCATCAGCCTAGTCACTAGTATATTGCATGGAATCATGGGGACCTGAAGTCCAGCACCTAAGGAGGGTAGCAAACTGGAAACAGGGCATCTAGTTTCTTAGCTATTTTTGCAATATATTGTTTGTGTCAATAGCACAAGGTAGACAACCTAATATCCTACAGATTTCTTTCCTTACAATACCAGCCAATAGTTAGAAATTGTGTGCACTGTGGTCCAGAACACTGGGAAGGCATCAGGTTGCTTGTTTGGAACAGGAGGGGATGCATCACAAGGGGAAACCGAGTCATTTATCTGATTTCAGCACTGCCCAACTCCAAAGCGATTCTAAAGGAATAATTTCATGAACTCCTATGGACCACGAGGCACATTAGAACAAGCTTCTTAAAATGATATGGGGACAGTAAATAAAAAGAATAGGTTAGTATCCTGCTAAACTGGAATGAAACAAAAAAGCATAACTTGTGGATCTATTGCAGTCAAATTGTCAATACAATTATATTTTAATTAAAGTATTTAAAAAACAGCTTGCTTAATACCTAATTATTAATCTACTTATAACTATATATATAATATTATATTCAAATAATATATATATATATAAATTATTTGAATATAAATATTATTTTTCAAAAACAACTGATCTTCTCATAACTTTTTAAAGCTCATCTTGTTGTATGCTATTGTGGAGAGGTTATTCTGTCCTCCTATAACCCCCCCAAGATTACTTAGGAAACCCTAAAAGCAGATTTGATCAATGAGCTCTGCCTTAATTCTGCATGTAATTTGCTTACATCATTCCACACTTCTTTAATTTTTTTGTATTCTGCATTTCATAAAAATCCCAAGGTTGGTACTATCATGCACCAATAAAATAAATCAACTAAAACCAATCAATCCAATAAACAGCAAACAAAATGAACAATTCATGACAGGGGCAATAAAGTGCTCATGAATTCCTCGCTAAATTAGCCTTAACCAAGTTTCAAAAAGTCAGTGAAATTGTAACCTTGTGCACTTCCATCCAAATATTAACTAGGTGCAACCCTTTTCAAAATCAACCACTGTCACTAAGGTGTGACCACTTCCTGTTCTTATAATGATGAACATCCATGAATATGTCAGTGAGAGTAGAACCAAATATGCTAATACCACAAGCTTATTTTAGCCAGTCTAGCATGTTGTATGGATCTCAGCCAAATACTTCCAAAAGTATACCCTCTTTCCACCATTCAGGTGAAAACCAAACACATTTATATACATAACATTTAATTTTCACAGCAATGATTATTGCTTCCCTCACTTAAATGAAAAGTCTCTCCATCCCCCCTGATGAATCTATTCATTTTGCAGTAATCTGTCTTTAAATGGCTTCTGAAATCAGATATGTAAATAAACTAGCTCTTGGTTTCTTTCTCATTTTTAAAAATGCCTATTTAATCTCACTGGATCTGGTTGCACTCAGCACAAATTTGGAACTCAAACACACCTGGAAACTTTATCTATGAAGATGACTAAGATGGAGGAGATGGGGGAAAAACTTAAACCACAGACATTTTGTACTTAAAACTCTGCCTGGGTTTGATCACATCATGTTAAAGCCTGCTTTTTTTTTTTTTGGTTGGTTAAAGGTACACTGGCAGAAAATAGTTGTGACAATTAGGACTTCAAAACAAACCATGGCCACAAACTACAAAACAGCAGGCTGTATATTAGAAAACACTTTGGCACGTGTGCTTAATAGAATCAAGTTACTAACAGGTTTCTCAAGGAAGGGAGACTGGAGAGGACAGAGACTAAAACCTTAAGAACAGAAACTGCAGTAAGTATTTTTAAGAACAAGCAAAATACCATTTTTAAAAAACAGAGTGCTATCAATAAAATTAGGGCTAATCCTAATAAAAAGGAACTACTGACACATGTTCTGGATCTCCAAAACACAGAAAGTTTTCTCTCTAGCCTGCCTCACCACCCACTTCCCAAATAGTATTTCCTAGATCTAGTGTTTACCTTACCCTATCACAGCAGGATGGACCCACCCAAGGCAAAGAGACAGCCTATATCCTGATAGCATATATAGCTGTTTTCCATGATAGTAGCCCAAACTCAAAAGGCAGATCCGCAGAGACCTATTCCTACTGTAACCAGCAAAACATATGTGGCCAGCAGCAGAAATTCCCATTGGCCCAGCTCAAGGGGAACATGGGACTCCCCAGGCCTCATGTGGGCAAAAGAGGGTACAGAAAGAACACACAGAGAAGACACATTACACTTTTGATTTATCGCTGTCATTTACAATAGCTTAACCCACACTTATGATTAATCAGTCTCTCAAAACTCTTTAGAACATATATTTTATACATACACATGTATAGAGGTACCCTCCAAAGAACAAGCAGAGATTCAGTATTGGAACAGAATGAAAAGGAGCCACAATTAATTTGCTTCGCAGAAGTGGTTTCAATCCTTGTGATTGTAAACCAATCCTCTCAGGGTCTGTTTGCTTCCCAGCATCAGGAGTAAGGGTATGTTGATTTCTTTACATTTTTGGAGTGTTGGTGGAATGGGTGGGGGAAGAAAAGAGGGAATAGATTTATACTACAAAGTGTGGATGGAAAATAATTGTATTTTAAGTGAAAAAATCCTGAAGGAGTTAATGGAAAAGGTCATCAGTGTTGCTTTGCCTGATGTTTTAGGCAAACATGTATACTGTTGTTCCTTGTTACTGAACAGAATAGCATTATCTTCTCTGTTAGGGATGCTGTTCTGATCAACAGGATAATTTAGGACTAATACTTCTGCAACAAAAGATTTAAGCAAAGATTTTAAACATTTTTTCCTCACAGTCTTCAAATTGTTTCTAAACTAAAATGACAGACTCTCCATGACAATGATATGAATTTATGAACTAGCAAAAAAACATGGTAGACCTTTTCCCTATCAGTTTTCTCATGAATTTTTCACTCAGAATATACCAAGGAACATTCTTTTGAATATTTGCCTAAATTGACTTTATGAATCTCTTAGGTTTTGTGTCTTATTGGCCTGCTTTTAGATAGCCATCAGTCCCATTCTTTTATTACTTGCTACTAGTTGTTTTACACAGTCTCATAAAAAATACGTCAATTGCTAGTTCAAATAGTTCAACACAAGTGGCACAGCAACCAGAAACAAAACAAAAAAAGCAAAGAAAATAAGTGTCCACAATAGTGACTGTTTCCACCACTGTTTGCTCTTCCCTTTACATTCACATTATTCTATTGTGGAGGGAAGATGCTGTCTGGACAGTCATAGACAGACTATCTTGAAATCATTTCCCAAATAACAAACCCCATTAAAGGCTATCTCTGTTCTTTCATCATATCCAGGCAACATCTGGCTGCTGTGTACATTAGAACAAATCATTCCACCAATTCCACTGTTCTGCCAAATAAAAGTTGGCTTATAGTTCTAGGGAAGAAAAACAAAACTGTGGTGCTTTTCCAAAGAAGAAAAAGGACAACTTAGCACTTTCATGATCCAATCCCTGAACCATCCCCCAGCTAATTTCTATATGCAGCTGAACCTGTTCTGAGGTAGATGCCAATTCTTATCACTTTTGTCCAAACAGAATTAATGAGAGGCATAGTCATAACTTGTTATTTCCTTACCATTAAGTATGATACCACCAAATGTTATACTGACAAATGAATTTCCAATTCACCCAGTTACCCTTATGTAAATGGGGCCTAACAGGAGATAGACTTGTATTATCTAAACTTCAAAGCCTATACTAAGCCTAAGATGTAGGCTCCTACACACAAAATTTTATTTTTATTTTTTATTTAAAATCTCTGAAAAGTAAAGTCCCAGCAACTATCTCCTCCTCCTCTAGAGGACTAAAGAGTGGAAACCTAGCACATATTTGGGCAGGGGAACTATGTGCAAAAAGACCTCTCCCAAATTATTTAGTATCTGATAATTTTCCAGGAGAAAAATGGTATTATATTTCTTCAAATAGATATCTGAATCCAAGAACGAATGCCATTTTATCACCAAAATACGAACAGATACTGTTTATAGATTTGAAAAACCATGAATACAAAATCAGATATTGGGATCTACCTCATTACTGAAATTTAAGTGCTGATATGTAAATGTGAGAAACAGTAATACTACAAATTATTTGAGATTCTAGAGCCAGGATAGAAACTTAATTTTTTTTTTTTAGCAAGATTCCACATTGTAACTCCCCCTTACAGTGAGGTTCCATACCACAAGGGTGCTCTTCACCCAGCTGTATTTATCATTTTGATGCATTGAGAGAGAGAGAGAGAAAGAGAGGGCAAACATATGGCTAATTCACCTTTCTCGCGGTTGCCAAAATAAACACTATCCAGTACTAAGAAAGGTGAATACTCAAGTTCATAGAGCTGGTCACCCATTTGGTCCAATAAAAAACTCCTGTTTCTTCAAAAGGAAATTCCAAGGTCTGCAAGGGTATTAGGGAACTGGAAGGAGCACAGAAGAACACTCTCCTTATTTGTTAGCTCTTGCAATTTAACTAAAGAGGGACAAATTTAACTGCATTGACATAAAGCACTCCCAAGTGTTACTGGGAAAAACCAAAATCCTTTTTTAATTACAAAATCCCAACTGATCACAGGTTTCCAGATAAGTAGCATCCTTTGCTGCCACCTCACAAACAAAACCCATGCCAAGCCTTCTGTCTCTATACATGCAGATTTTCTCATAAAACTCCTTCTATACCAGTTGGCCCCCAATTTGGCACTACTCCATCACCTCTAGCTATAGCTACATATTAGAGGCTGAATGAAAAAAAAAAGTTTTATTATTTTTGCCGTATTTCCTTCATATAGATAAAGAAAAAACCCACCAACAGACAAATATAGAAACAAAACAAAACAAAACAAAAAATCCAGGTATTCAGATCCAAAGTGGAAAAGGTGCTTCAGATCTTCTATGGGTGCACAATTTTAAGTGTACAAGTTTTTAGGACAGCTCCTTAAAAAAGCTGTCCCTTTTTCTAGGCTCTCATAGTAGTCACGAGGATCCCCAGAAAATACTGTTTGAGTTAAGCATGCAGCAATGATGTAACCACAGGGCAATAATAGGACAAGTCCATTTCATGACTAAATGTCCCATTTTACACTTGCAACAAAATGAATAGTCAGCTTTTAAAAACATACTCTGGTCTGTACCGCCCAGAATTTGTCACGGTAAGTATTGAAAAGGGATGTAGAAAGCTAAGTTTATATCTAGAGTGGAGCAATATAGCAAGTAATGTTATTTCTACAGAATTGGATATGCAATCCAGTTCAGATCAGCAAAAGTACTTTAAAAGTCCCACTACATTCCACAGAATCCTGTTTGCCAACACTAGAAAGTAGCCCTACACTGCAAGCAGATGAGCAGCAACCGCTGGCTTTGTTGCCTTACAGAGAATACCGCAATGGCTGCTACGGTAAAAGCAGTAACTTTTGCAACATCAGCCACTGAAGGGGTAGTACAGAGCTTCTAGTCTAACAGGAAACCACTAAGTTCTGGATCCCTGATATTTGGCAACTTCATCGGCCAAAATGATACTGAAGTCTCAAAACATCCAGCCATTTGTGGGCTGGACTTCCCACTTCAGCAGTTCTTCATGTTATTCCTGGAGAGTATTTGTGAGTTGGCTGGTTTTATACTAGGTCAGTAGCTACCAGCTGAAACCACTCTATATGGAGAGACAGAAACATGTCTTACTTTAGGCATACTAATTATATTCACCCATTGTAGTAATAGCAATAATGTGGCTTGTTTGGTTTGGGTTAGCAGACCATGTGAATCCAACTGTTTTGGTTAAGCATGTTTTGTAACAGTTGAGTGAATTGTGGCTTACTCAACATGATGACTGAACAAGCTATGACATAGTAATACTTTATGAAACCAACCATTTTCTTACAACAGTAGTTTCCAATCTTTTCATTGAAATCTTTGGAGGATTACCCCATAAGCCTAGGTGAGCAATGCAAATCCTATGGGCACCGTGGTACAACCAAGCCTTTTTCAGATATTATCCAAGGGACTTCAAAATTAATTTGTAAAAACACAGCTGAAATCTCAAGAGATTTTGATGCTTTTCCCTAAAATCTCACAAGAATTCAGTCAGAAACACAATACCTCATGGTGATCTTACAAGATTTCAGCTATTTAAGGAAAACCTTTAAAATTAAGCTTAATTTTGCATCTGACAATTACAGTACATTTGTTTATACTGTTTAGGTGTCATGGAATTATTCTATAATTCAGTTTTATTTTTGTTTTCAACACAGTATTTTAAATTTGGGGCCCTTGTGACTCAAAGTTATATAGTTCTTACAAAGGAATTAGGTATTTCTTCCAAATCCAGCAGTCTTAAGTCTGAATCACCAGGAAAGTTACTGATATAATAGGTTTCAGGTATACAGGTAGAAGTGCCACCGATGTTGACTTCCATAGAAATATAGCACAAACCCTAATACCGACCAGGTCAGCAGGATAATACTGTAAATCTGGAGCTGCTTGTACTAGTGTTTTAAAAATCTGTCAAAAGACAACAAAATGTCTAGCCAACCAAGCCATCCTGAACAATGTAGTAGCAGATGGAGCTTAAACTAGCAGCCTGATGGTTACATATTAAGCTTCTCCGGGGATAGTATCAACAGAAGTCAAACATATTCCACATAAACATACCCCAGAAGGTTTGGTTGGGGAAGAGGCCCACCAAGTAACCCATATTCTTCACCATTTTAGGACCAGAGTCAGTCCCCCATTAACTTACCCAGAATAAAAAGTTGAAGAAAAATACCAGGTATTTAATACATTTCATCCCACCTTCCACTCCCATTTTGTGTTTTCGCCTCTGTAGGGAAAAGAAAGGGGGGGGGAGAGAAAATCATCACAGGGACTAGGATAAGAAACAGTCTTTATTAATACAATGGAGATTGTAAAAAAAGAAACAGGAAACTTGGAGAGTTCAAAGTAGAGCAGGCAGAAGCGGAGGCCTGTAATTCCAGGAGTCGTGGTCAGCGTTACTGAAGGAGAAGGAAATCCTGGCCAAAACCTCTGCCTATTAGTAACTCTACATATCAGGCTATTAGAAGGAAGCGGCGAGGCATCCGCAGGCTGGCTAAAACAGGACAGCCAAGGACCTCCCGGGCCAGGGCTACACCCAGACTTCCTGTTCTCCCTCCCCACCTTGCTCCCTCGACGCACGCTCCCGCGCAAACCCGCAGCGCGTGCTCTCTTCTCACAGGCCAATCCCAGACCCCTAGATATTTGCAAGGAGGCGAGGTGGGGGGAGGAGAAAGAGGCCACTTAACAGCGTGGCAGATTGTCCAGCCTCGCCTCCCTAAAACTACGCTCTGGATCACCTCCTGCCCCTCTGCCTCTCCCTAAGCCGCACCAGATTTCCCAGCAGAGCCTCAAGGCGCGGCCGGGGAGGACGGGGGCAGGGCTGGAGAAGCCCCGAAGTCCAACGTAACTAGCAGGCCCCTTGACTGCGTTTCCGCCTCCCTCTCGCCCGCCCGCCCCTCACTTTCCGAACCGGCCCTTCATCGCGGAACCCCCCCCCCCGGTCCTTTCGCTTACCTCCCC